TGCATGGCTTCCACGAGATCATCTCTTAATGGTCAGCTCCAAGCACATTCACATCAATAGCCTGGACTGGATACAGGGAGAAGCTGCAAACTTTTCTGGGAAAAAAAGAGTTGAATGCTGGTGTCAAGCTCTGAGCCTGTATGTAGTGTGGTAAGCTAATATAGCTGCCTCCATTCAGAGAGACTGGACAACTCAATTGCAGAGGTCAGAGATGTGTTATTTAGGAGAGAAAAGCCCAGATCTGCCAAGACTATTCTATCTCAGTTTTATCCTCTTCAGTGACACTTGAGATTCCGGCTGTGAATGCCCCCAAAGTAATCCATGCACAGATCAACTGAGCATTCCTCATGCTAAACTCATGTACTGGATAATTTAGGATAAATTTGGGAGCATGCACCTGATGCTTCCACCATGTATAATTTTTATATATAGAATGTAAGCTTTAGCCAGGTAAATACTTGAACTGTGGTGAACTTGAAACAACCTAGCAAGGATCAGAGAGAAAGGAGCATTCTGTTGGCAAGTTTCTGTCATTAGGAGCAGCTGGCAACTAAACAGCAACTAATCATTAAACTTCATGGGCCAAATTCTTCCTTACAGCTATTCAATTGAAACTGCTCTGTTAGAAAATAAACAGGCCTTGTGCTGTGGAGCTTGACCAGCTCTAATTTCAGCTTTGCAGTTAGTAATACTTTTCTCTTCAAAAATGCTTAGTAGATGTTTTTTCATGCATTTCCATCATCCACATAACCACAAAACCACCATGAAGTTCTGCAAAATAGTACCTTCTGTTCACCAGACACCCCTGATTCAGATAGCAAAATTACTGTATTGTATAGCCATCCCCTATTTCAAAATTAAATTGAAGATAATTCTTTCATTTCATAGCTGGCAAACCCAAGAGCCCACAGAGAGAACTGGTTTCTATAAATATTCATGTCTATAAATGCCAACTAAAACTTGGCCTAAAAGAGCATAATGAATTAAGAAACAGCTCAGCAAAAAGACATCCTTTTTCTCTAGCTCACTGGGCAGGTCTGCTGGCCCTTGGACCAGGAGCTCCACTTTGAATCTCAGCTCTGGAGCACACTGACTGCTCTTTGAATATCAGCACAGTTTTTAACTACTAGAGCATCTCTGTAGGCTCCTGAAGCACACTGGTCAGTTCTGCCCTCTGTTTCAAGCTGAAGGAGTGGTGCTGAGACATTTAGTCCAGTTACCTTAATAAAGCAAGATGAATCACACCTCCTTTAACTCCAGACACCCAGTCAGACATCTGAGATAGTCACCTGAGGCTCTGCTTATAGTCAGGAGAAGGAGCACAACATCTCCAGAGGGTCCTTTGCCTGATCCAATGAGGTGAATCCTCCTCCAAGAAGAATATAGTAGCTAACTTAGACTTGCATGTCTTTTTCACATCTAAGGGTGTAAACTTCAAGGAAGTCTTACACACATTTCTAGACATTTCACTGAAGGTGACTGACAAACCTTACATTATCACTGCTAAAAAATATTTTCAGCATTATGGGAAGTATTTCCTGTCAAAAAACCACCTATTGAAGAATTCTCACGATTGATGAGAGCAAGAGCTCTTTAATTTTATGGCTTCCCTTCAGAAACTCTATCTCTATAGAACTGATGTATAAGAAAGCTATACATTCCAGTAACCTACTTTTTTTAAGATAACTTCCTATTTAAAAAGCAGTGTTTGTTTCTATGTTTATCTAAGGGGCACACTGTCCTAGCATTGCCTGCTATTATGCCTTTCAATATTGTTCTAAGATGTTCATTCTTTTTCTTGTAATTTTTTTTCTGTCAATATATAATAACAATTATACCAAATTTAAAAATGGGTGGTGAAGTTGGTCAAGAGGCTATATCCTAAGTTTACATTAGTAAACAGCATAAAACCTTACCAATAGGAGCTGAGTGGTAGAGTGAAATACTTAGCTTTAAGGGCACAACTTTCACACAACCTTTTTTGGGTTTTTTACTAACAATTATCTCCAAAATGATCCTGTAGACTGAATTTGCATTAGCACTTAGAGTACATTAAATGAGCTCCTCCTTCTGCTCAAACAGAATCAGTTTATGTGCATCTTTTTTTAGATGCAGAAATGCAGGTGATCAGGACATTCATTTTAAAAGTGCATTCCTGCTCTAAATAATGTACTCATGTATTTTCATCTATAGTTTTTTTCTCACAAAAGAAGAGAAATCTGGAACACTGCTGTGTGTTCCCTGGTATTGTCAGAGGACTGTGTCTTTTAAATTTTTTCAATCATAATTTCTGAAATTTTACTCCCTTTTCAGTTTTGAAAAAAATAGGATGTTCCACACCATTCACCTTATTTGAACATTCAGAAGACAGCAAAAATTGATGGCAGAAGTCAATAGGGGATACATAATCCCTTCCTGGGAAGCAGTCTCACCCACATAGACACATGTAGATGGATTTCTGGCCCTGTTTAAGGTCCTGGTGAATCTTTCACCACCTTCAAGGAGCAAAGGTTTAATCCCTGAAGTTTCCAGATGTACAAGCTGAGTTGTAATTTCCTAGGACTCACATTCTTGTGGTCATAATTACAGCTAGAGTCTTGAGGAGAACACATGCTCATACCCAACACATCCAATGACAGGCATTCCTTCCTTGAGGTTAACCACTTGTGAAGTTACTACATCCATTAGCAGAGTTCACAATCCTGTAAGAGAACATCTGTCATGATGGACTCCAAAGAAATGCACTAAGACATCTGAGGACAAAATAACCTGGTTTTGCAGTTGAATACTTTTTTTTTTTTTGGTAATGCAACCAATAGCTCAGATAAACTGGCCAAGAATTGCCTTTTGAAGGTTGTCCTTTTCTAGCTGAGTTTAAGTGATTGCCTTAGTTAAACACAACTTATAGATGGCAAAGATTATGTTAGAAGACTTCCACCACCACATGAATCCTTATAGTTCTATAGCTTAGTTCCTCATACCTGTTTGGTTTTCCAGCTTCCAGAGAAAGCTGATGGTTTTGCAAAGACAGCCTTTAACAGGGCTTCAACAATACAAAATTGATTCTGTTAGCTTAGTGCACAAAGCCTCAGTGCAGTACCTGTTTGAAAGCTGCAAGAAGAAAGGCTGCTACCAGGAGCCAAGTGTCAGAGCAGGAGAGTCCACAAGCCATGACCTTACAGCTGATGCCACCTTGGAAACTGTCTCACAGACTGGAAAAGTCACTGCTTCAGGGGCAACAGAAGCCTTGCAGAGCAAAACATCTTGAGAGGTTGGTAACACACTTAGATACCATTTCTCATCTTCACTTGCTGATGCCAGACTTGAGATAGCTGAAAATTATGGACTCTATAAACATGGTGCATTTAGCCCACTCACAATATGGTTGCAACCCACACACAGTCTGGATTTCCCAACCAGGGAACTGTACCAGCTGCTAGCTCTTCACAAGATAGGTGGCACAAACAAGGACTCTACATGGGGAGTTGGCCACTACTGAGATATTGCTGTTACCTTACATCGCTTGCACTGTAATCTAAATCAACCGCACAGAGTATTAATTGTGCCACTGGTGTAGTGAGGGATGCAAGGAACTCAAGGAAAGCTCTGCAGTTAAAAACCAAGGGATGCTGTTCTGGTCTTAATGATAACGGAGGACACAAATTATAAGAGCGTACAACTAGTCAGAACTGAGATACACTGCATCATGTGAGAGAAAAAAACATCTGACCCTTTTTTCTTACTGGAAAGTTTAATGGTTATGCTCCTGATGACACTGATATTTTAAAAATAATTTAAAAGCCAAAACTATAAAAGAGCAGAGTTGCCAGCTGTATTCCTACATATAAGGAAATCTGTATGTTAGATCTGCTAGGAAGTTACTGCTACTCACTTTGTACTTTAAAGCATCATAGGAATATAATGAAAAGCCATTAATAATATACAGAAAAGGTCAAAGATTTACCTGAAAAAAGCATCACATAACAAAGTAATTCATAGTGAACACTGCTTTAAATTATAATCAATCAAATCTGAAAATTCTTGGAGAAGAGACAACTTAGCCATTAAGAAATGAAGTATTTAGGAAAGTCTAATGTGTTGTATAGTCTTGCATAATATATCTCATAGAGATGTGGGAAGCTGCTGTTTAAGCTTTTTGGTGATAACACAAACTTTATTAAAATAAACCTGTTTATCTGGACAATATTAAGGCAAAGTCCAGCTCTCACTTGTCTGTGTAATGCAAGGTATGTTTCCATCCCCTTGGCAGAGCAAAAACAAAAACAGAGTCACATGTCAGAATTAGCGAACACAATAATTTTCCAAGCAACCTGTAGTTTGAAATTTACTTGCCCAGACTAGTAATTTGCAAAATACACATTTCACAGGAGACAAGAATGATTCATATCTGATTCACAAGAAATGTCAATGTTTGCCAAATTTTTGCCTTGACAATACCAGAAGTGCCCTCAAACCAATACTGCAATATTATCCTAAGGATATTCCCAGCAAAAGGCACAACTACAGTATGAGAAGACACGAGGTGCAAAGCATCACCCGATCTAGTCAAGCAGTCGAGCATTTTTAAAACTTTTGTGTCTCTGGAAACCTGAAGTCTCAAACAGATTAAGCCATAGGAAAGAAAAAATGGGAAGAGCTGAGGCTGATTACAACAAGTTAATCCACAAAACAATTAACAAAAATTTATAGAGAAAAGTGGAGATGCAGCACAGAAAGAATACTTAACACATGAACTAAACAAATGGGCAGAGAGAAGGCTGTCTAATCGTGTATCAACACAAAAATCCACTTTGCATGGAAACGTGTAATTTGAGCATTTTAAACCTACAATTTAACATAGCGTATTCAAACGCGACAACAGAAAGATGAGAGAGAGATTTCTGTTTGCCTTGCAATATCTGAACCGCAAAAAAGCGTTTCAAAAGCAGCACAATTCAGCGGACACAAGCAAGAAAAAAATCCAAACCATGAGTAATTACATGGAGCAGCTGAGGGGTAGGTGGATACGAGCAGCTTCCCCGCGCTGCTGCTAATGAGCGTTAACCCTTCC